GTAGCATCGGCCTCATTCTCCAGCCTATCATGCTTCGATGTAGTGAATGTCATAGCCATCCCCTCAGTATAGGCATCTGGTATGACGTATTGGGCTTTGCGGCCGGGTGTATAGAGGTGCGTCGCGTGTTTTTGGATATAGTCTGCTAACTTATTGAACGTCTTCAGCATTTTCGGGGGAGAATGCTTGAACGTTCGATGATCCAAAGCCAGCATCTTTTCAAAATTGACACGGACATTCTTCAGGACATCGATCAGTGAAGACTGGTTCAGAATATGTTGCATAGTCCGATTTGAGAATTTTCCACCATATATTCGCTGTGGATGGGTAAAGAAATGATTCCGACAGTAGATACAGAGCTCTGTATCTCGTACCTTGATATATAGGTTGTTAAGCTCTACCCACCAGTCGATTGCGCGGAAACAGTTCGGTTTTCCGGTGGGATTGCATAATATATTCATTCGGATTACTCGTCTGTTTGGTAGAGGTGAGTAGTGCAAATGATATGCCCCGTTTTACATCTGACGCACCGTAATTTCCCAGGATAAACAAAGTATAGATTGTGCAAGAACCGCAGCATCTGGGTCGCATACTTATGCTTTCCACAGCCGCGAAATATGAATGCCCATGGCAGGAAGCAGTCTTCGACGCGCCCAATGTCCCCCGCATTCATTGCAATCGTGAGCTCTTCATATAGCAAGAAATACTGCTGCTTGAGTTGCTGATTTTCGAACACTTCATCCCGCAATGCCGACGTATTCTCGCGCTGTACAGCAAAGCTTTCGCGAGCCACGTAGTCTCTCGCCAAGACCGCTGCAAGATCGCGAATCTCCTGCCATTGAGGAAGGCGGTCTGCCCAGGTCTCGAGGCTTGATACCTTATTCCTTTTGCTCACCTCGGTACATCAGGAAACACGCGGGTTCCTATAAAGCGATCTATAGGCTGGATAGGTAACATAGGCTCATAGGAACGTCCGTTCCGGTATAGCCGCACATAGTACCACAGTTGCAATAGACACTATGCATAGCCGCAATAGCCACCATAGCAGAGGCTGTATAGGCATGCATATCACTCGATAGACACCGTAGGGCAGGTATAAGCAATGAAAGAATTTGATATTTGAGGAGATACATCCATGACTATACTATATCCCTCGTGTTAGCCCTGGAACTAGTTTTCTACACCTGCGACTGCTGCCGCCCATTCCCTGCGCATGTTCTCTAACTCAGTCTCATCAAAGCCCGATGATGCTTTGCAGTCTTCACCCGGTACCTTCGCAAAATCACTATGTTCCGTGGTTGGTTACTGTCTCAGGATAAAATATTGATGTAAACCCACCGAGCACCATCCAGAAGCTGGGACTGAATGCGTTCAACAATCTCCATATCAGCCATCTTCTCCTTAAGGGTGTCGAGCTTCGATAGGTGGTGTTCAAAGACAGGTCCATACGTCTTCTCGCTGAACTCGACGCCACTCCTCTGACCTGTGGCCCATTCATCCAGGGCACACTGGACCTGAAGCCAAACAGTATTAGAAGCAGTGAGACCACGCGAAAGACACACTCACGGCAGTTAAAACAAGAGCAATGGTAACCAAGGGTATACCAAACCCTGACTTGCGGCGGCCCCCGACGTTGAAAGCAACCTTCTCGCTGAAGTACTCAGAGTACTCGACCCCTTCATCACGTTGGCTTGAATACCAGGTTTCGTTGATGACGGCTTGAATGATAGGGTGTTTGTAGCGGCCCGTGCGCTCCTCCGGATTCTAGGAGACCACTTAGCTGCATCAGGGCATTACAGGAAGATAGCTCACCTCGTGAACGAATGCCTCGTTGTCTTTAAGCATCTCAACACGGGCGCGGATGGTCTGCGCGTCCGCCTTGCTGTTTTTGTCGAGCAGCTTGTAGTATGATGGGACGAGCGTTCGCGCCTTGATCTTTATCTCCCCCCGTATCTGCGGTGCACGGTCAGTGAGCTAGATAGAGGGCCGCCAGGCGTGGACATATTAGTAGTTGCATACTATGAAGATGTAGACCTCAAAACAACGCACCATACTCACAACTAGCGGTCCAAACTCCATATCTATGCCTTGGTCCTTGCACGCCTTTCCCCAGGCCTCCCGACAGAACTCCGTCGCAAGGTCCGTGTTCGGGAAGGGGGCATCAGAGCTTATAAGGCAGCGGAAATGATGCTGGGAACCCTTGACAGCTCCCCGCTTCTCCCTCGGGAAGTCGCTATCCAGAACTCGGCCCCGTGTTCCACTCCCGCCTACGGCTTCTACCTTGGGCTTCTTAGTGAAGCGAGTTGTCTCCATGGTCGGACCGGAAGGGGCAGGACGAGGTCGGCGCAGGTTGTTGGCAGCGGTCAACGGGCCTCGGGGTGCAAAACCAGGCACTTCCACAGCAGCGGAACGTTCGTCGCCAGATTCGGAGAGGTACTCGAGATCCTCCTCATCAAGCTGGACGGGAGCGTAGGCTATTTGAGCCGCTCGGGGGATACCCAGCTGCTGGGCATCCAGACGATGCGGAACCTCGACATGCCGCTGCGCAATGTCATCAGCATATTCCATAGCAGGGTAATAGTAGATGGCTTACCGCGGGCATCACTGGTGTTCTGTTCGGGACATGCCCAGCGCGACGACGGAGAACAGGTGACTGAGGCTGGGGGGAGTCATTGAAAGGCTATGGGGACGTGCCTTAGTAAAAATATCGAAATACAAACAACAGTTACCATTGCAATCGGCTGTGGGATGACACCCGATAGTCTATTGCGCCACAGATTGTCCGGCGCCCGAAAGACTAGTGGCTTCTTGCTGGCCACTGGAACGGCTTCATTCTCGTCATGTTCAAGGCCGCCGTTGTCGAGAGAACCATTGCCGGTGCGAGAAATGCCTGAGCGCTTCACAAGGACCTTCTTGGAGGTGGACATGTCATTCCCCACCGCCGTGCTGTCCACCACAGTGAACTGTGGAGGTGCGAGTCGCAATGAGTGACAGATAAAGAGAGAGTGCAGGCGCATACTTGTGGCCCCACATTGAGGTTAGCTAATGTTTCGTCGTCCAAGTACTCTTCCTCGGACTCAGGCGAGTCTTCCGCAAAGTCGTTGTCCTCTTCAATGGCCTGTCGGGCGCGTAGAGCCTTTTGAGCAGCTTTCTTAGTTGCATTGGCCTTCTTTCGCTTATCAGTGTGCACTACAAATCTGCATCAGAGGAGGATGGCCAGAAGCAACATGGACAACGTACGGGCTTCTGCCTTGCGCTCAGTTGCAACTGTCTGTCTGCCACTCTTGCGGGGCGCAATCTTCTCCCTCGCAGCAAGGTTGTCGGCCTCGGGAGGTACGACACTCGCCGCCATGCGAGCCATAGGCTCGTTACTCATAGCGTCGGGATCGCGGCTGACAGGACGGCGAGTAACAGGAGCGGGTGCGGCATCCTGGGCAGGGGCAGGAGTCCGGCGGACTGCGGGAGTGGAACGAGTAGAGCGACGAGCAGACATTGTATCGGTGACGGTGTGAAAATGTGAAAGGGGTGAACGAGAGCTGTTGAGTGATATTCACTTCACTGAGGGAAAGACTCGGTGGGTGAATGCCTACCTGGGGGGACTGGCGCTCCCTTCATATACTCTTGTGCTTTTATACCGAACCTTGTCTGTTAAATCAGACACCGCATTCGCGTCTGGTCCAATGAGGTCGTGGTCAACAAGAGAGCAACACGTCCTAGATAAAATCAACAAGGCTCACGTGAGGTGAAGGGCGCGTCGACTTCCGTGGACGCCCGACAGTGATTCCACATGCAGTATTCGTCGGCGTGCGCCGGGGCACGTCATGCGGCGGCCCGACGGTACTGGGACATTGAGCTTTCTCGAACCACCAAGTCAATCCGTAATCCTCCAGATGGCTAGGACACATTTGCACACCTGTGGCTTTTGCAACAAGTCTCTTCCGACCGCTGGCGGATTGCGCAAACATCTACGTACTGCGGCGTCCTGCAAGGATGCGTGGATTGATCACCTATCACGGGAGTCTATCAATATTTTTGATGTGCAGAATGACGCCGAAAACAACACTGCACCTGAAGACTCAGACCCGCCGTTCATACCCGACGAGGAGCTGCCAGAGCAGCATGGGATGTTGCATACTGCCCCGAACGCCGCTCCCCGAGGCGTTGAGATCGAGGACGTGCCAGATTGCGAGGACACTGCCTCGCAGACTCACCGACTAGTGGAGGAGTACCCCGCGGAAGGTCTCGCAGGTGCTGCATACCCCGGGGGAGGCGAGACGAAGTTTGACCAAATCTTGAGGGAGAAGCTGGACAGAGGGGAATGCCTACACGGTCCTTTTGAGGACGACGAGGAGTGGGAGTTGGCGAAATGGTTAATTGACAACGTCGGGCAAACGCAGACCGATAAGTTCCTGAAATTACCTATTGTTAGTGATCCCATGTCCGCATTGGTATCATTTACGTGACTTACCATGCTTCTCAGACTCGGAAGCGCACATCACCGTCATTCGAGAGCAATAGGCAGTTCCTGGACCGCATTGATGCATTACCTACACGAGGCGTCAAATGGGACTGTCACACCGTGCGGATCGCGGGAGACAAGAACGACGACAATGGAAATGTGATGATGGAGGAGGTAGAGCTCTGGGCACGCAATCCTGTTGAGTGTGTCAAGGAGTTAATAGGGAATCCAGCGTTCCGAGAAGTGATGGCATACGCACCTGAGCGGGTCTACCGCGATGGGCCAGGGAAACCGCGCATCTTCGAAGAGATGTGGACAGCCGACTGGTGGTGGGAGACCCAAGTACGTACCTATTATTGGGCCTGATGAGAACTCGTATTCTGATCGCCTATCCAGGACAAGCTCCCAAAAGGAGCAACTATTGCCCCGCTGATCCTGGCCTCGGACAAGACAAAGCTGTCACAATTCAGCGGTGACAAGTCCGCCTGGCCAGTGTACCTTACACTCGGTAATATTGACAAATCGACGCGCCGCAAGGCGAACTCGCATGCGACTGTCCTAATCGGCTACTTACCTGTGGCAAAGTTGAGCTGCATGACTACGAAGATGCGTTCGGTGACTGGATATCGGCTCTTCCACTGGTGTATGAGCAAGCTGCTTCAGCCACTAATCGAAGCGGGGAAGGAGGGCGTCGACATGACCTGCTCGGACGGTTGCATCAGGCGTGTGCATCCGATTCTAGCGGCGTACGTCGCAGATCACCCGGAACAATGTCTTGTAGCCTGTTGCAAAGAAAGTTTCTGTCCCAAATGTCGGGTCCAGCCCGACAAACGCGGTCAGCTCGACTTCGAAATCCGAAGGAGGCTTAGCGAACGGAGCAAGGTCATCTTGAAGCACAAGGCCAGCGGACGCCGTGTGCCAGCGTTCAATGAAGAAGGGTTCAGGCCGGTCGAGGATCCCTTCTGGGCGAACCTTCCATTTGTCAACATTTTTGATTGTTTCACACCCGACTTACTGCACCAATTGCATAAGGGTGTATTCAAAGATCATCTGGTCAGCTGGTGCGTTGACATTGCGGGCAAGGAAGAGGTGGACGCACGCTTTCAATCTATGCCTAAGCAGCCGGGACTTCGCCATTTCAAGGACGGCATTTCAATCGTGTCGCAATGGACTGGAACTGAGCATAAGGAAATGGAGAAGACCTTCGTTCCGCTTCTCCATGGCGCCCTTCCGGCAAGGGCTCTCACGGCTGCGCGAGCGGTCCTGGATTTCATTTACTATGCTTCTTTTCATTCCCATACCTCGGAGACACTTTCCCGGATGGAGAATGCCCTGTACGACTTCCACGAGAACAAGGACATCTTCGTCACTCTCGATCAGCGCGACCACTTCAATATCCCGAAGCTCCACTCCATGCAGCATTATATGGCTGCTATACGCTCACGCGGCTCGTGCGACGGATACAATACAGAGTCCCCCGAACGTCTACATATCGACTATGCTAAGGAGGCGTATCGCGCAAGCAATAAGAAGGACTATACCGAGCAGATGGCGCTGTGGCTGCAGCGTCAAGAGAACGTCGCGGAGTTCTCAACGTTCTTAGAATGGGCGACCTCTGATGACTCTAGCGACGCTGATGGACCCAGCAGCTCGGACGACTCTGATGTCGCACCCGAAGAACCGGTTCCTCAGGCCCGCGCTCATAATGAGCATGCTACTTTAGCCCTCGCTGCTCACCTGAGTCTTCCACAATGTCCAAGCTTTCCTCTGAGAACTGTTGACCAGCTAGTGACTGACTTCCGGGCTACGCAGTTTGTCGATGTGCTCGGAAAGCATCTGCTGCGTGAACGGCCTGACGGGGCTCAGCCCCTTGTCCCGAAGAATACCGATCGCTTCGATGTCTATAAGCAAGTCATTGCCTCTTGTACTGCGGTCCCTGTGGTTACCGACAAGACTAAGCTTCGACAGCGCCTGCGTGCCATGCCAGCCAAGCCGGGGAAACGAGGACGCGAAGGAGCCCCTGCGGCTTTTGATACGGTGTTGGTTAAAACGGACGGAGGTGACAGTAATGGCCATGCCATAGGCACGGCTCTTCACGGTGCGTATATTCCATTGCCAGGCTCGTACTTGATTGCCGACATGTCTTTCGTGAGGGTAGGACTGCGCGTCGCACAGCTGCGTGTTATATTCCGTCTACCGGAACATTTACAATACCGCCGGGGACGACATGCAACCCTCCTTGCGTACGTCGAATGGTTTACACCATTCACTGCCCGGGATCCGACATTACAGATGCATTGGGTTTCTCGTTCAACGCGCGGCGGGAGACCCAATGCTGAGGTTATTGAACTTTCGCATGTTATAGGAGGATGTCATCTCGTACCTAAGTTTGGTACAGAGATCAGCCCTCGGTGGACATCCGAGAATGTGTTGGAAGATTGTAAGACATTCCTTGTTAATAGATATATAGATATTCGGACATTCTTCCTCCTGCAACCCCCTGCTTGACATTCTCTGTATATCTACCCATCATGTAATTATACTCAATATCTTTCTACTGGTTCGGAAACGTGCCCTGCAGCAAGGTGGCAAAAATTATGCGACATGTGCGAATCGAACCTACGTTGACTATGTGTCCCTATGGCGCGTGCCGCCTGCTATCAATGTCTATCCTGTCTATACCGCACTATGTGGCTAGGGTCCTCCTATGCCGCAGAACGCGTTTCCTGATGTGGGTCAGGCAAGCGGGAGCGTCAATGGTGCTTGGAAGGCCTCAGACTGGGTGCCCTCACTTATACGGTCGAGCATATACCTGAAGTGTCTTCCAGATTCCAATAAGGTGCGCAGCATACGACTCGGCACGTAGCCCCGCTGAAATCTAAGGTTGGTATTAGACGGTCTCTTGGATGCCGGCAGACTTAGTCGCGGCAAGCATACCTGAGATGCGCAATGCCTCACCGCCTGTCCTTCACTTAGCGAGCCCGATTCCTGTGGCATGGAGAACCCTTTTTACCCCGATATCAGAGATTCTCGGACTTCCGCTAGTGCCGTACCACACTTGGTTGGACTCGCTTGAGCACAGCGACATCGTCGAACACCGAGACAGAATCAAGACGGATAAACTCCTTCCTGACAACCCCGCCCTTCTGCTCCTTGACTTTTTCCGGTCTGCCGCTCGCACCGAAGATGATCCAAGCAAGGAAGCGATAGGTTTACCCAGGCTATCTCTGACTCAAGCCCTGCAAACCTGCAAAACATTGCGGGAGATGGAGCCTTTGACTTCGAATGATGCCCTGGGTTGGGTTCGGTATTGGAGGCAGATAGGCTTTATACGTGCATGATGATTTTAGTATTGCTGCTCTCCTCTCGAATTCTCAGTGTACTCGATGCATTATATGTACGGAGCGCGGGTTCACTAGACCTTTACTGCCATCGTCTGCAATTGAGACATTGGGAAAATCAACATTCATTCATGAATACAGAGTGCAGTCCCAAAGTTACTTCGGCCTATGTAAGCAACAAGCCATCCTTATATCCTCCACCGTGGTGTACAGCAAGAGTACAGTATAAAATGACCTGGGCTCTCGCGTTAACATGATCCTTGCTATGTCTGAGTGAACCACCTACCCG